GGAAACAATATTTACACACTTTTACATTTCTGAAAAGCATGTTAGTACAATGCTAGATTTTTCTGCAACAAATTGTTTTCCACTGTCATTGTCAAGAGAACAAATTTGATTTGATCTGGGTGTGTGAAATAATATATCAGCAAATATTGTTTCTGTATGTCAGAGTAAGAAAGACAGCATAGCAAAAAATGAAACTTGATTTCAATACAATTCAGACAAATCTAAACCACCAGTACACGCGCAGATATTAAAGAGACAAGCCATGCATGGCACAGTTCCCGTTAGTTATCAAATTTAAGATATAGTTTTGTTTATAGTAATATAGTTGGAATATAAACATGTCAGAAATATGGATCCAGAAGATGTAGCTTGATTATGATGATGACAAGTCCTCGTTTTCGAACTGCGTCTGAACGAGGAGTAAACATTAAGCGTGATCTCATTGACCCCTCTACCACTGCATTCAGGAGATGTTTTAAGTAATCTCACAAGGACATTGAGGTTGATCACAATGCTAGGTACATGACTCAAATTAGCACTGTTCAATGCTTTTCAAGCTTTCACATTGTTTAATGTAGAGTATATGGTGGTATGAGACCATAGTATGAATTTATTTGGTAGTGTTAATTTGTAAATGTATTACCATAATTTTTTCTATTGTTAAAATGTTAAAAGTTTGTAGCATGGATTAAATCAAGAGAGCAGATAATATTGGGAGATGTATGGTTTTCATATTTGTTAAAAAATATTGACACGAGTCTTCTTAAGAATAAATTGCCATCATTAATTTAAGTAATATCAGATATATAAATTATTATATTATATAAAAAAAATTGAATTTAACATCTCGGAGAAAAAATACATAGTCCTCACCTTTTTCAAGAAATGAAAAGACTTTGCATTTGCAATCAGATAGAAATTAAAGCAATTACAAGCATGCATAATATGTGAGTGTGTTTGTTTTATCATCAGCATTTTTACATCAATGACAAGTTATATAAATAAAATAATTTACTTTATAAAAGTTGTAGATTTTGTTTTTGTCTCTTTATACATGTATAATGTACCATATTCTTTAAATGAAAAAGAAAAGGATTTATTATAAAAAATAAAATGGCATAAACGGTGTGAATTGGTGTAAACATAACAATGTGGTTGTTAGTTGACTACGTCCTTTATATTGGGAAAATGCTTGAATGGAACAAAAATGATATATAGGTATATATGTACCGGTATTTGTAGCACAAACTTGAAAGGTCTATTACATGTATGGAGATGGATATATTATAAGTCAAATAAGATTACCACTAAATGTTAATTACTGTATACTCTGGTTGAAACACACATAAGCAAGTCATTGTATGATGTTAGACTGAAGACCGATGTTTTAGGAGACAGACGCTTTCAGAATACAAATCAGACATCCAGAGTTTAAGTGATTTAATTTGCATTCACCAAAGTAGGTTACATTGTAAAGCGTCTAAAGGTTAAACATTAGATGCAAAGAATTGTAAAATTTAGGACAAACTGTAAGATTACTTAAAATATTCAAATACCCAAGAAATAAGCAGAATTAACACAACCATAATATAGATTTACACTAACATGTACGTATATATATTGCTGCACTACAAGTAAAGAGCAATCATTTTCTATTTAATAATATAGCAGCCTGGGACTCGATCTTATTTGTTTTCAGACCATGTACATGTACTTGATTCTTAGCCTTGGAGGCTATAAAGATTATATGATTATACCAGTATAATAATACATTTATTGCTGCCTTAGAAACAACATTACATGTATGTGATAGCAGAAAGTGATAATTTATAAAATGTCTTTAACGTAAGTTATAAAATAAATATATAATAAAAAAGTCATAAAACTGTTGTACCGGGAGATATAGTCAGCGAAATCAAGTCACCTCGACCCCTATCCTGTTCGACCCAGGACACGTCGACCCCAAGTTAGACACCTCGCCCCCGTGCCCCCTAGTCACTTTGATCCCTGTATTGTGTATATCGCTTCGTTGTGGAGTAGTGGGATGAGCACGTACAGTAGGTTACTTCTTCCAGCCTTTGCGATCAAACATCGGTGCAGGCCTTCGACGTCGTTTGTGCGAATACTGTGCATGTAAATACACCAGGTCGAAGGTGGCCAAGTAGATCCCTCAATCCAAGTTGAGCGGATATATTCTACCAGTGGTTGCGTGGACAGTACAGATCTTCTGACAACGACTTCGAATGAGTCTTTAATATGCTCTTGACCTTTTATTAAGTGTCAATATTAGTGACAACTGATTTCGGCTTCACCTCATTAAAATATTACTTAGTAAAAATATGTGCGTTGGCAACATCTCCTTTGCGGGATAATAGGGTGTCGCCAATCAAGTACAATGGTTCAGTCCAAGATGGCGTCATTTTACAGTTGCGTGCGATAGAATGAACAGAAATCGACAAGCAACGAACATTAACTAGTCAGTGAAATGAAATCGATGGCCGACACACTCAGGGAAAGTATGATATTGTCGTACAGTGTTGTATAATTCTTGGGTCGAAGTGACGCACAGTGTACAACTCCGGGTCGAAGTGACTAGGGGGCACAGGGTTGAGGTGTCTAACTTTGGGTCGAGGTGTCCAGGGTCGAACAGGATAGGGGTTGAGGTGACTAGAAATCTAGTCAGCAACTGTTAATGAAGTCTGATTCTTTTTTTAAAGTAAATATGTGAATACGCATGTAGTATATTGTCTTTATTTCCAGTGTTTTTTTTTCAGTATTAATAATTTTAGACAAATCAAAAAAAAATGTACATCAGTTTTGGCATATCCTATTTTACTGGGGTTTTGGGTTTCGAGAGTCAACAATTTTCTATAATTATGATTGCTTTTTAATTCTAAATTGTGTCTACAGTGTCATTTTTTAACCACCTAACTCGTTCATATCATTAAAATGTCTCTAAATTATATTTAAATTTCAGTTTACTATTCAGTCCTATAAAATTCACACATTTTCTATCTTTAACATGTTATTGATTTTTTTTTTTTTTACTGAGTGTTCTCCTTTGAAGGAAATTCTGTGAGTTATTCTTATTGAATTTAGCCACTTTTATTTCTTCCAGGTACACTTAAGTCTGTTTTGTTAGATTATCCAGTCCCTCCAGTGACCCTGGATCATCTAGTTGTTCCTTTATTTGTAGTCTGTATTTTATTGCCTGTATTTTGCAGTGAGACCCACCTTTGATGCAATTGATGCATTTGTAATATAAGTTTACAAAATCAAATGTTTTTG